GTTTTCTTCACAAATGGCCTTAAATGACATCTGAGTGCCCAGTTTTGAGGAAAAATCACATAATTCGTAAAACAAATTGCACCAGAGACCTTTCCTATTGCACAATCTGCCCTTAAAATGCCACATAATTTCTCATTATTTATCCAATCCTATCAGGCAGCCTAACAAGTCATAAATGGATTTTTGCAAACACTCAACAAGGGCACGCGTGCAAAACGTCTGCGCATGCACAAGGTCTCTATTTTCAATAATTAAAATTTGCAAAATCTTCCCCATTTAAATTGAAAAACATTTAGGAATGTTTGATATGTTTAATGGTTTGCAGCCGGTTCTAGTATTAAGCACAACAAAAAATTACTTAAACTAACTTAACTAACTAACTGGTAAAGTCGTCCAGTATAAGGTTTTTCCGTCCTTGTTTTTCCACTTAGCATGCATTGGTCATTTTTGTTGTTCACATTGACCGAGCTCAGCAACATGATGACCAAAACAGCAACAATGGCTACGGCGAAGTGCTGCCAGAGCGAGCGTGGACTTTCAAACATGATTTTCGCCTTTGGTGCAAGGAGGAAAGTATGTGGTGCAGAAGAGAGAAACTAAAGCAATTAATAAACTTTGTGTTCGTGAAATTCTAAGCTTATCTTTCGTGTGTGGAGCTTACTTTTTTGAATTTCGCGGCCGGAATCTAGTTTGTTTTGGTATCGCGTATAATTTTGAACGCATGCGCACTGCGTTTTTCACGCGTGTCCTCAACAAGGTACATCCTGTGTGCATGTGTTGTTAAAATACCATTAAATTACAACTAGAAATTCACCTCTTTTCTGCCCCAAAGTTGAGCCTGAAGGCAACTTGCCATCATTAGATTGCGTTGTTGCTAACTCTTCAGCTTTCTTGAGGTTACCAGTATCTATGTGGTCTGTAAGACAGTGTTTACATCCTGACTTTGAGGGTTGAGGTGTGGAACCAACAGGAGTTGGCTTGCTAGGTATTCTCGCATCAAAGTTAAAAACTTTGTGAACAAAGAGTGGGCAATCCAGTCCACATTTACAAGTGCCTTCTGTTTTCAGATACTCAATCACATGGTCCAGAGATCTGAGACGACTATTGTTTGGACTGAAACGGAAATAAAATATTTTTAAGTTTTTCAGTTAGCAGCATAGGCCCAGGAGGGGTGTGTGTGTGGGAGGGGGGGGGAGAGGAGGAGGGTGGCATTACTCAGTTATAACAGAGATGAGGGGGGGGTGAAAAAGGCCAAATTGCTATGACCCAAATTGTTCTATTAGTCTGAAGCCAGATCCTAAAAAAGCCAAGAAACCAGGGAAAGAACTTTTTCACTCTGCATAAAAATCAAAATAGACAAAATCCAAAAGTGTTACCATCCAAATGCATCTCCTCTGGCAGAACTTATGCAGAGAACTATTTTTCTTAGGATATTTTGACAAAAAACAATTTTAAATGTTTTGGTTAATTTTTTATACTTTGGTGACTATCAGGTGTGAAAGGTTTAAACAAACTGAGACCAGTTACTCAGATGCTGGTTAGTATCCCATGGTTAAAAGTTTAACCCTGGATTTGGTTTACAGTTAATTGTGACCACTTTGGACTGTCATTTTATGTTAACATAACAGGCCAAGGCCTCTGAGAAAAGGCTTTAAAACGTATCATAAGTTCCAGTTACATGATCCTAGAAAAGAAAATTAATTTTGTTTAACATTTTTTTCTCAACCATGGGTTTAAGTCGACCATCTTTCAAGAGACCTGGCCTGGGTTCCAACTCAAGATCTGTACCTGCAAGTATTTAGTGACAACACAACAAGCCAGGAGCAGATAGTTCGCCCAAATAGTGGCCAAAGAAAAAAAAAAACTAACAATAATAAACTGAAATTTCTTTGAGGAAAAATAACTTGTTCAAAATTCCTTTTTGGGCAAAAATTTTGATTACTTTTGCTCAACTCCTTACATAACATTGCACAAAGTGTCTTTTTTCTTTCTGGGGACCAATATTTAACATCTGGGAACCATGTTTGGAGCACTGTAGAGAAACATATAATTTTACCATCTTGTGGTCTAGGAGATACTTGAATGGTTTTCAACTAGAGAAACAAAAACCCAGATAACAATTCATTCCTGGATCAGGGGTAACCAGCATTCAAACAAGATTCTCTGCCTCAATCTTTCATCATCAAGAAATAAACAATGACATGTATGTAACGTGAATTTTGAGGAAATATATGGGTAAAATTTTGACAGTTTCCCAGATGACAAAGGTTTGCCACTACTTAATGTGCCGCAATCATAAATTTACAGCGATGTCTAATCTGATACAAATGTTTCGAGTAACCCGGGCTCAAGAGATCTGCTAAAAAAATGTAACACAACATCTGGAAACCTCATAAAACCATAAAAATGAACAGCTAGTTAGGCGAAGTATAAAATGAAATAGACCAAACGTTTGAGCTATGAGCCGCCAACGGCAAGCGACGAAACGACAGAAAATGCTCACGATATTAGAAATGAGTGTGTGTAAATTTATCTCGACATTGGACGAATGCAAATTAGAAAATGAAGGTCATAAGTTCGAAGTTAATTTTAAATAATAAAGGATTGCTACACAAATAATGCCTAAAAACTACCCAATTATTTGACCCTAGTCGCTTGAAATTAGTCTTACTTTATTTAGAATGTCGTATCAATGTCAAAAGAACAAAATTTCTGAGATGGCAACGAAATCTTACCTGATGTATAAAATGGAACCGTTTTCTGAGATGCGACTCCAGCCTCGTGGAATTTCAATGCACTTGGGTCCATCGATAACTTGTTCACTTTCGCCTGACTTACTACTCATTATAATCCATGAAAATGTGTTACCTTCCTAATTGAGTGTCCGAGCCAAAGCTCGAAGAAATACACAACGTGACATTAAGCCAACAAAGGACTTGTTCGTGTTCGATATCCAACAACAGACGACCAGAAGTTACACACAGCTATAACGCGGTACTTGCGAATTAACACGTTAAGTATGATCTCCAGTAGCGCATAATTCACCAGATACAAAGCAAATGTAGCGTTCTCAAGTCAGCACGTCGGCAAAACTCCCAATAAGTGATGCTTAGGTGCTTGTATTTACATGTGAAAAGATAATTCTTCACCAGAAAAAGACCGCCATGTTGGATATGCGTGTCGCATTGTATTTTCTTTAATGTGACCGCTGAACATTTCTTCATTGGAAAAATGCTGGCTCAAAAACTCGCGAGTTTTTTACAAGGGAGGAGTACCTCGTAACAGCCATCGCCATACCGATGCCGCAAATCAATGTTCTAAAAAAGGACTTGAGGCACAACAAAAAATATAAAGGAAAAAGTAAACAAACAAAAACCAAAAAAAACAAGACAAAACAAAATAAAGCCACAAAAGTAAGTAACAAAAAGGTATTTTAATATTTTTGCTTTACAACCTCCTCCCGCCCGACACACGCAAGAACAACATATGGTGTACAGATTAAGACAATAAACATTGTTTTGTCTATATGCGGTCCATAAACCTTTGCATAGTACAGGTACTTTTCGCTTATTAAGATTTTACTAAAAAATTGAATTTTTTTTGAATTTATTTCCCCTTAGCAGTGAAAAAATTATGGTCACTTGCCGGATCAATTTAAGTTTCCGGGAAACTGCCCCCCTACCCCTCCCCTAGCTCAACGTTAACATTTGGGTCTCACTTGGGGCAAAATATTGGGTTAGGGGAGGGGAAGGTGGGCAGTTTCCCAGAAACCTGAATTGGTCCCACTTGCCGAAGTCCCATTATAAAGTTATTTTCATTTAGAGTCCTAAAGTGTGACATCATAAAAACTTTAAATTTGTGAAATTATGGGATTTTACAGAGTATTATGAAAGAACAACATCCAAAAGGCCTAATTGCCAAAAAGAAGCATTCCAAGGCAAATTGTCTTTGAGATATTAGCCCGGTTAATGCTCTGATGACTCCATATAGAAATCCTTCTAAATTTGACTCAGTTCACAACTTTAGGAACTGAATCAAATTTAGAAGGATTTGTATGGAGTCATCAGAGCGAAACGGGACTAGTATCTCTGAGACAATTTGCCCTACAATGCTAGTTTTTGGCAGGTATGCCTTTCAGATGTTTTTCTTTTAAAAGATCCCAACACATCCCATAATTTCAAATAATTAATTTTTATGACGTCATCACTTTAGAACTATATTAATTTTATTCACCTTTGTTTAATGGTCAACTTGTATCAAGAGATGAATGGTGAGGGTATATAATTAGTCTAGGATAGGGGGCTGGTCGTTTTACTTGTGAGGAAGCCCAGCCACTTTGGAGCCTGTGAGTAAGCTCTTCATCTTGAGCGACAAACAAAGCAAGCTGCGAGAAAATGCACAAGCAGGCAGTGAAATCGCGAGGGGTGGAGAAAAAGGGGGAGTTCTCCCTTTCTTTCCCTGCCTCTCTCTTTTGCGACTCCTTCAAATGAAGAGCTTGCTTGCAGGCTTTCCATTTTGAAAAAGCCTAGAAGATCTTCAAACTCACTCTCTGCTTCATCCAGGCTTTTTAGAAATGCCCCATCCCATATAAATTTTACATATTGTGAAAGTGACCCCTCACCCGATTGCTGTGGAATATTCTAGCTACAAATCGTGCCCAATCAAGTTCATCACATACTACAAATCCGTGCTTACTATTCACGGCTGTTACATTCAATTTCAGTAAATGCGAGTTACCGCTTTATACTACTTTCATGAAATTTATTAAAATGTCCCCAAGGACTAATGCTTCCTTGTCTGAAAATGACCCCCAAAGCCACATAATTTTGAAATGACCCCACAACAAAATGGCCACCCCTCCCCCCACCCTCCCAGGTAATAAATGATCAGTCCCAAGCTGAAGGGTGAGATGTTTGGTGCCTGAGTTATAAAAGGGTTGCATAAATATTCAACTGAACTCGTTCTGGTATAGACAAATGGTTTTAGAATCCAAGCATTATGCACTCACCCTACAATTCCAAGAGTACCCCTGCAGCTTTACCCCTAGCTTGTGTGCTAAGCTTTCAGAAGAATGTTTGAAACACAGGTTTCCATACAGTGGGCATCAACATTCAAAGCCACTTAAACAATCAAACACCTTGTTTTAAAACATTAAAATAATGTTATCTTTTATTTTGCCACACCTCTTCCTTAGAAAGGCTACAAACTAAGTTTGCAAAATACCTTTACTAATATATTTTGTCATTTTATGATTTACAATAATATTTATTTAACGACCCAGTTGCACATGACAAATTGACTGAAATAACTGTGCCAAAAATAAAATGCATCTTTCTCTACGTACATTTTATTATTCCAACAAACACCCAAAACACTCACAATAATAACTATTAACCCCAAACAAGTATATTTACGCTTCATATCCATCATGTCATTTTATAAAATTGATATTATTGGTGAGAATTAAAGGGACAATAATGTATCATATTGAGTGTTGCACATATTAGGAGGTATATTAGGTGTATTATTGCCATATGAAGTTATGAATATTTCCCTCAAAATAACAAGATCTTGTGGCCTTGTTTTGATACGGAGCAAAAGCAGAAGATCATCTCCATGCAGGATTTTCACCTGGTCAAATGTGGTGAATTTTACTGATTCCAAATAAAGATGGTTTGTAAACTCGTGTAAAGCTAGCATGGAAGGTGACAAAACCAGTAAAGCCAACTGAAAATAGAAAATGACAGGACTCAAAAGAAACATTATTTACATTTTTTCTTAAAGTTACAGGACACAGATTACCACTATAGACCAATCTTATCTGTAAAGATTGCAAAGATTAGTTTAGGCTGTGGTTTAATTTTATCCCTGGTTTAAATTTCATTTTCCTTTGTTTTTAGGTATGGTAGAGTTTGATAATGTGTTTGAAACAAAGGAAAATAAAATTCAAATCATGATAAAATTGAATCACAACATAAACACACGCAAAATATCAGGAGAGAGCTTTTCTGCGAAAAAGAAAAAGCTATCTAAAAAACCATTGCTATGGTTATATACTAGATCCAGGGTTGTCATTAAGAGCCGGGGGCCGGGGATTTTCCCCGGCTACTAAGAGAGTGGCCCCCGGCTACTTTTATGGGAAAATAGAAGAAAAATAGAACCAAAAGAAATCCCTAGCCATTTGATTCCCCGCCTACTTGTTGTATTTACCCGGCAACTTGAAATCTTAGTGACAACCCTGTAGATCACACCTTTAACAGCAAAAAATATTAATCATAGAACATTACTGCAGCAAGCCCAATGCTCTGAACTTAATACAATATATGTAAACAAAATCTAGGGTACCCAGCATACTGAAACTTCTGCTTATAAGCCGCCCCCCCTCCCCCCTCACTATAAGTCCCCCAAGTTATCGGCCACCTCTTGAATTGAAAGGAATCAAAATTTATCACATTTTAAAGCTTAAAAAAGCCAGTAAATTCAAAAAGTCTTTTGATCAGCACTAATAGGAAGCTTGTTTTGAGATAAAGCCCCCCCCCCACCCCATTTATAATCCCTCCTAAAACCCCTTATGAAGTTGTATAAGCCCAGTGCTAATAAGCAATATTTAAGTGGAAGTTACGGTATGAGATTTATGCGGAACTAAGATCTCTTAGTCACCCAAAACCAGGGATACTGTGTGATTCCAGAACACAGCCCCGCTGTGGTGGTTACTGCACCTACTTCCATCCTGTTTGTACCCCAATTAAAACTCAATGCCAACTGTACCAACAGTAAACACTGACTGTATATACTTTTTAAAATATTGTAATTAAAAGATTTGAATCTACTGACATGTAGGCATAATGATTAAAGGATGTAACTTACCGATAAAATAAATAAATGGGACAGCACCAGGAAGGAGGCCATAAAATGGCAGTTCAAACATGATAAAAGCTGTTAACTGTTCTGAAAGGGAGAGCCTCCGACCTACAAAACAACGGTAGAGTTGGGACTCTGTATGGGATACAGTAACAACCTGTGACTAAGAAACTGGTTTTGAAGAACCTGTTAGTCTAAAATTTGCCAGTTAAGCACCCTCCATAAAAGAACCTGTTTAGCCTAAAAATATTTGAATTACAGGTTCTTAAATATTTCTTTTCTCAAAATAAAATCTAACAAATTGTGTACACTTGGGCAAATAAGATAAGTCAACAATCAGGATCCTCTTTTGAGTGATAGGTGCCTGCCTTATCATTCCAACAGCAATACTAATTGAGTATACAACTTTTATAGAGGAATAACCTGAAGGCCTCTACAATTTATGTTTTTTTTTTTCAGAAAATAAGTTAAGAACCTTAATAGCCAAAATTTGTGCTAATTACCATTTCAAAATGTAAGAATCTGTTTAGGCTAACTTTGGAAAATGAAGGTTCTTAGTCGAGGGTTTTTACTGTATTCATTACAGCAACTGTGGGTATTTCAAAATATTGACAATGGAAGAAAAACAGATATCAGCACTCAGGTAAAGAGGCATCCAGGATTCACAAGGGATCCCACCTTCATTAGTGGGATACCTACTCAGGATCATGGCTCCCACCTGGGATCTCAGGTGGTATTGGTAAGATCTCCCGGACCTCTCCCGCCAGTGACTCCCTCTTCCCACCCAGGATCCTAGGTAGGACTGGCAGGATCCCACCTGTCCCACTTGGAACTTTCACTTGGAGATTTCAAGATAATAAATATCTATAATTAAAATTTAATTAATTATATTAGTGAAGTTAAATTAATGAAAAAGGTGAATGATGGAAAATATCTCTAGGAAGGAAAAGGTTACAAATAGTGAGCTTTATGTTAGTTTAAAAAGGTGACCAATAACATTCAAAACTGAAGTCAAAGTACAATAACCTGAGTTTAATTTTGACCTTTAACATATTTATAAGTGTATATAACCCATAAGTGTTGAGAAGTAATCTTCAAAACTTACCAAACAACTTAAATACAAATCCACTGACATTTAATCCATAAATCAGAAGCACAGTGATGCTTGTCCACAGAATACAAAAGTTGAAATCATCAGAATTAATCCTGTAAATGTTAACTAATGTTAGTTCCAATTGCATCGCTGTATATTGCTCATTACTGGTTCACATATTAGATCAGGTGATTAATTTTACAATCCTCATGATCATCACTATATATACCTAAAGAGAGTGTAAAAATACTAATACAATAAAATTCCACAAATAAGCCCCTCCAAATATAAGCCCTGCAAACTGGTAACGCAAAAACCCTCTGTTAAATCGCCCCTCCAAATATAAGCCCCCCCACTGCCTGGGGCTTGTACTTGGAAAAATGCCCTCAAATACAAAGTAAAACAAAGCAAAAACGGTAAATTTACTTCCAACTGTAAGGCTAGCCCAATTGATTTTGAAACGCAAATTTCCCTCCGTAGATAAGCCCCTCCGAATATTAGCCCCCCCAAAATAAGCCCTTCAAAAAGGGCCTTTGAAAAATATAAGCCCTGGGGCTTATTTTTGGAATTTTATGGTATTCACTTACACCACAAGAGCTACCATAACAAGGAGCAACATCAGCCATGCATAGTTGACTTGATAATACACCAAGTTGTGGCCAAAATTTTCAGTTGAGGTACTACAGCGGCCACTGAGGCACATACTGAAGAACCTCTTCCATGGACGCAGAGCAAGTGGAGGGAGGAATTGAAAACTACTGAAAGATTCTGTGGGGGAATTTTTTTCCTTGTATGGTGGAGGGTCTTCCATCAACAAACTGAATAGGCCAATATTGCTCTGTTTCTTAAAGTTTCCATCCCCAAGATCAAGTGGTGTTGTATCATATGATGGGGGAGGTCCAAGTGGAATCTTCTTCATGTCTGCAGACATAGTGTGCATAAAGGCAGTATTATGGAAATCAATTCAAGACTTTCATCCTAAGAAAAATAAAAATACTCTTAATCAAATTCTGTTTTCTTCAACCTCACTTTGCTAAATTTCTTATATACAGTCAACCTTCCATAGGCGACCACCCAAAATACAAAGATTAAGACTAACTAACTTACTAAATTTTAGTGATCGCTTACAGGAGGTGGTCGCTCATGAGAATTGAAAAACAGGGATCTTTTCCGAGAAGAGGTCCCATCTCATCTCTACCTTATGTAAGCTAAATCTGTCAGAAATTCAATCTAATGAAAACAATAAAAACTAATTTATCTGTAAAAAGAAAACATTGAGAACATTATTAGGAAGGAAGTTTCAGAAGCCCTTCTGGGTAGCATTCTAGGTAGCAATTTTTTTCGATGACACGGACGATTTTATAAATAGCCTTTTAACTCAAAACAAAGAGCATTGTACATAAAAATTCATTCCCTGCTGTCTTCCTAGTCAGCATCAAATAGTGCAAATTCGTTTTAAGTTTTCTTCACAAAGCACCATTGCTACATACGAAAACGATGAAATAAATAGGGGGTAAAGATCATGACTACAAAAACAAGTCCCTACTTACTTCACCCAGAGTAAATCTTCCTTGCAGTAACTAGCAACGAGGGTGCAAATCCATGCTATTATATGAAGGGAAAAAAAACAAAAACTCCTCGTTCGATTAAATCATTCAGTCAGGCTGTTTACGTTGATTCACAGTATTCTTACCCATAATACCTTTCAGAATTGTATCAAAAATGATCAAAGGGCTGGGAACTAGTCTACGCTTGACGATCGCGGGCACGCGGGCGGGCACTTCCGCACGCGCACGTGTTATGTTGTCTAGAAATCAACTGAATTTCAAGCTGCTTTCCTAAAGAACTGTGGTGCTAAATTGGCGGAAGAGTGACGCAAGAGATAAATAATTATATTTACTGTTTAGAAATATATTCAAACAATGATGAAGTAAAGAAGTTGAAAGGTGGAAACTGAGTTGCGGTCACTAATTGCGCGGCAATTCCCCCCTTGCTCCCGCGCACAAAGCGTGCTACTAGCTTCGCTTCTTTCATTTTGCCAGGTTCTCCATTTTAGTGTGCCCAAATCAATCTAGGTAAATAGAAATTAGCTAAATTGCTTTGTAAGACATTCTTAGGTTCTCTTAGTAACCTAGACTTGCTACAAGTCGACCTCTTGGCGAGCGGAGCGAGCCTTGTTTGGCCGCGAATCGGCCGACCGCGAGCGACGAAGTCGCGAGAGGTCATATGAAATCCGACAAAGGACTTTTTTGAAAGTCTATTAGTAACCCTTCTTTGAACAACCCACCTTGATAGTTCAAATAAAGGTTGAATAATTAAAGTGCTCATTGTTCATGTCTCGAGGCCTGGGTACCAGAGAATTTTTTCGCGAAAGGGGGAATTTTCTGGCGGTCGGCTACATCTTCAGCTGACAGATCTTGAGCCGAAAACCCAAGCTACGAGCGGCGAGTCCGCAACAAAAAAACGGTCCTTAAAGAATTGACCGACACCATAAACTGCGCAATTCAAAGTTCTTAGGGAATTACAGTGCCAAATTTATGATTCCAAACATAAAGATTCTGCATACAGTCGAACCTCGCGTAAGCGACCATCCAAAATGCAAAGACTGAGTGCGGGTCGCTTACGAGGCGGTGGTCGCTTTTAAGAATCGAACCACAGGGGGTCTCTTCCGAGAAGAGGTCTAGACACATCTACCTTATGGAAGATATTTAATGCATGTAATGTCTAAGTTACGCCATGTGTAGTTCCATGTTGTCACTAAAGTTCTTTGAATATTCTTAGTACCATAGTACACACGGCGGACATAGAGATCAAGAGAATGCGTCAAGTGGTCGCTTATAAGAGGTTAAAAACAAAAAGTGGTTGCGGTCGCTTACAGAAGGTAAGCGTTTACTAGAGGTTTCAGCTGTAAGGCTTTGACTGGGAAATTTTTGGTGTTTTGGATTAGTGGTCGCGCATGGATGTTCGACTGTATCACCTTTGCTAACTCGCCTAGCATTATAGCACTTCCAGCAATAAATACAAGAATCAGACCAAGTCACCACATTTTCACTTCTGCTCATTCATTTGAGGTGATTGCTCGTTCTCAGAGGATCTTAACTTAAAGAACTCTTACCAGGTCCCTCCATCGTTCTCTACCAGAGTCACCCTAAGTCAGTGGCTTCAGTTCTTTTCAGCTCTTTAAGCTCCTGTCAAACTGAGCGTCCTAATCTCAATATTTCTTTACCACGTTACCGGCTTTCCATGATTTGGAGTTAAGTCCAAGGTTTCTTTAAAAAATTAGGGAGCTTTAGCAACAACGACGGCTACGATTAAAAGTGAATTCGTGCTACTTCAAACTTTATCGCGCTTATTCTAACTCGTTCAGTTCGTCAAACGTTGGCAAATTTTTCTGGAATTGAATTCTAAAAGACTGTATCAAAGTTCAGGAAAGGAAAAAAGAAAGTCGTTGTCTTGTGTTCACGTCACGGCCTTGACAAAACGTGAAATTAGGCACTTTCCCGTTGCAGTTGTGTAGGGACGGCAGAGAAATATACAAAAAAACGTGATGCACGTGCCAAGTTGTTGTTTTGCCAACCTATTGTTTTTTTTGCCGTTCTCGTTGCCGTCGTCGTCGTCGTTGCTTATGGTCACTAATGTTTTTACCGATAATCAGTCTGTTAAGCCAAGTAATCGGCTCCTGGTTAAGTACAATTCACTTACTTTATTGCATCAGGACATCAAAACCTGAAATTTTTCTGTGCTAAAAAGTTATTAGAGAAAGGAAAGAAAAATTGACCAAGGAGTAGTTCAAAAGAAACTGCATGAGATTCCGTGCCGGTGTATGGAAAGTCCCCAGTCGGGTTCTTCATTCCCGTCATCTCAGCCTTTCCGCCCAATCCCCTAATCCGAATGTTTATTTCAGGATCTGATTCAGATAAGGGGTGGGGGGGGGGGGGGGGGGGGCGGGCTTCCCACACCCCTAAAAAGGGGGGGGGGGGGGGGGGCCCCCAAATTTTTTTTTTTGGGCCCTTCGGCCCCATTTTGGGTCAAAAAAAGGGGGGGACCCGGCCCCCCGGCCCCCCCCCCCCACCCCCACCCGAATCCACACCTTTCTCTCTATTCCTCTCATTGTGTTTTTTCTTCTGTGGTTCGCTCTGGGCGTGCCGCCGGCTGCGTGTGGGTCTCTCTCCGTGGTCGGTGTGTGGGTGGGGTGGGGGGGCTGGTGTGGGGGGGGGGGGGGGGGGGGGGGGGGGGGTGCTCGGTTATCCAGCCCCTTAAATAGGGGGTGGGTGGCGCGGTCTCCAAAATTTTTTTTTTCGGTCCTTCGAGCCTCAGTTTGGTCTAAAAATAGGGAGGGACCGGGCCCCCGGGCCCCTCCCCTGATCCGCCACTGAATCCCTAATCTCGCCCCCATTTTGCTTTAAAATCCCGAATCCCGGCCTTCAAATAAGGGAAATCCCGGATCCCGAAAAACCTACTGGGGACAGGAGCACATCATTAGGGACCCTCCGCATGGGGGCAATAAAACGGTTGTCACTCGGGGTCAAGAACCGTTTATATCCAGTACCGTTGTCGATCGACGCGAACTTTCCTTAAAGAAATCAGGGCAGAGTCCTTGTTTATGTGCAAAAGCGCCATTCTCTAGTCACAAATTTAAATCAATCAGTCAGAGGTCAAAAATAAATACAGAATATCCATTGATTAACTTGACAATTTCTACATCTTTCGATTTCCTGACTCTTACTATGGCTAGTTTCTTTTTCTTGTACTGAAGAGCTAACGAATTATTTTGTTTTTTTTTTGTACATCTTTAACTTAAACCTAAGGTGAAAAGGCAAAGCAAAAAAGTTCCTCCTTTTAAGATATGAAAAAGCGTTTCACCGTTCTCAGGGTGGTAGACGCTAAACTTGAGTAAAGGCAAAAGGCACCTCAGTGAGGGATATAACTATTTTATTTTTTGTGTCCACTGAACCAAATTCGCCCGTTCGTTGGTTGATTCAGACGTGGGACTCAGTTCATTATCGCTACGTAAAAAGATAAAAGGCTTGCCAGTCCAAAAAGAAATTATAGCAATTTATGTATTAGATTCAGCACCTGAAAAGTTCGTCGTTTTAAAGAGGTCGCTTGACGGTCGAAATTTCCCCATTTGGGCCAATCGACTCCAAATTAGAGATGTCGGGCTTAAATGAATTCTAACGTCGATCTTTTAATGTACTTTTGGAGGAATTAGGTTTAGAACACGAAACGATGAATGTTTGAACTGAGCCTGACATTTTTCGGATCCGTAGAGAGTGTAGAGGGGAGGGGGAGGGGAGGGATAAGCCTGAAAAAAAAAAATGGCTGTATAGATGAGTTTAGAGGTAAGAGGAACTGAAAATGTTGTCTCAGAGTTTTAACCAAATTTTTGCCCATACAAGAACCGCTGACGAAAACATTTTGATACGAAGAATTTTCAACAGAGTCAGCCTTCAAACGATAGTTTCTGCGAAAAAATTGGATAAAAGACGATTAAAATAACGTCAATCAAAGACAGAATTGTACCATTTTATAGTGAAATTTGATTTAGCAATTTTGTGGAGTTTTTCCGGAAAAATAGATCGAAAGGGAGCCCCTTGGAAAAGGGGGGAGCAGGATAATCCCACGACTCCCTAGCTTCGCCCCTGGGTAATTTTCATCTGTATTCTGGTTTTAGTGTTTATTCTAACATCATAGATCCTTTTATAAAACTTTAAGATAAGGTATTTGTTAGCTTATCCCAAAATTCTAACAATAAAACCGGCCTCCATCCCCTTTGCAGAAGAGGGAAAACTTCTTTGTCACGCCCAAGCGTCTTTCAATTATATGCGCGCGCACTGTCCACCGTATTGCATTTTGGGACATATTTCCCCTATGAGCGTTTTTGCCGCCATGATGGATCCTAGAAAATGGGATCCAAAGAAGAAAATTCGTTTAAGTCTGTCTTGAACGACAAGCTGACACTCCAAAAAGCTCAAAATGGTTTAATACGATTTCTCTAGTGTTTGTTTTAAAATTTTTCTGAACCTGCACCCTTTGTGCAGTGTTTCAAATTTTTGAATTTGAGCGCCGCTTTGGAAACTCAACAGCGCGTCAAGATGAGTAAGTTGTCATTCAGAGCTCGACAGCTCGATTCCAACAAGGCGCTTCCAGTCTATCGGGCGGAGGAACTACCCGATTTGACGGAATTCAGCACCATAAACCGTGCTGTGCCTCAAATGCCTACTGGAATGGAGAAAGAAGAAGAAACGGTGAGTGAAATAAGTTGTCAACTTGTAGTATTATGCTCATTTATTTAACAAATTAAAGAATGTGTGATAAGTGATTAAAATTTTCAGCCTCTTAATGATCCGACCATCCGTCCGCAAATCGAAAAGTTTCTAAGCGTTATTTTCGGCTTCTGATCGAGTTTAAAAGCTTTGTGAAATGTACTTCTGTTTTGTTCACGTGATGTCGATGCGTAAACCCGCCATTTTTGAACGGGACTTGCACGATACCCGCGAAACGCGGAAGTGAGCAACTTAGTAGAACTTCACAGTAGAACTTTAACGATTTCGCGTCTCTTGTGGATAATTCATTGCTTTTCGGAAGTTTTGTCTCGAAAATCTTTAGTTTTCCTAATAGTTTTGAAATGTACAAATTGGTCATTTCCTTTCTTTTTGGGGTAGGGAGGGTTATGCAATTCCTTATTTGATTATGTATGTAGCTTAGCATCATTAAAAGCTTTAAAATTATAATTAGGTATGTTGAATGTTTTTAAGTTAACTGCTCTTAGAATTTTAGAAAGATTTCTGAACAGTCCCATACATAAACTCTCAAACTACCCATCATAACAGTGAATGTCAATAGTTTCAGCCAAAAAATGTATGGGTAACTTAGTGTAGGAATCTTGTCTGAAATTTCTGGTAGTTTTTCATATTTTGATTTTAGAAAACAAGACTAATTTAGTCAAACAAACACCACTGTAGTTATGTAAGGTACATAACCACCAAAGAACTTTTGATTAAATTCTGTAATCTGCAATGAATAACAGTCATAAGCCATATGTTAAGTGTGTTACAATTTTCAAACAAAATTATTGTCAAACTTGAGACAAGGTTTGCTTTCTTCTTTCCTCCACTTTTTTTTGTAAGTTTACTGTTATGGAGACACAAAGAGTGTCTATAATCCTATGATTTGTATGACAGCTCTCAACCACTACATACAGAAAATGTCTTACTTGAATCTAATTAACCAGTGTTGAGGCCTTCTTAGGAGTGGCATGTATTTCCCTAGCCTTACATGTACAGCAGAACCTCGATAACTCGAACTCGGGTAACTTGAATTTCCCGCTAACTCGAACTAAATTTCCTTTCCCTTGATGAAAATTTCACTGAAATTTACCCCAATAACTGGATTTCCCTGCTAACTTGATATATATAATCTGTCAGCAAGCTACTAAACTGAATTTTGTGACAATTGAGCAATGGTTTGTTTACAATCATACGTGATCATGCAGGGTGGTCACTTACTGGAAACAGAAATCAAAAGAATATGTCAAATTTCTGGCTGTAAAAGTGCAGCATCCCAGTTAATTCTTTCAAGCGGGGGGTCATGTACATACATACATACATACATTTTGTATAAAGTACAATTATAACATGCCGATGGGTAGCTAAGCTAATCAAGGCGGGTCATGTTTACAGGAAATAATATTTGATACAATGAAGAAAAAAGAAATGATCTTCACTAGCCTAACAACAAATACACATATGCAAGAACGCGGAGCGCTAGCTAAAGCGTCCGGTCAGTCTCGTGGTCAGAAACTTCGAATCTTTTGCGACATAATCATTGTCCACCTACTACTTTGTCTCCTTTCCAGTTCTTCTTCTCATGTAGACCATCTGAGGGTTCACCAAGACCACGTGCTAATTTTTTTTGTTATATTTAACGTAATACTTATATGTCTGTGTAGGAACACCATCTCCAGAGAGCAATTTCAGCGCAGCAGGTTTACGGAGACACACAACAGCTAGTGATTCCTACACCTGATACAGAAGAAATAAAGGAAAGAGTAGTTGAAACGCTTTACCAAGATCCTTTCAAACAACCAAAACAATACATTCACGTCCAAGGTTAGTAAGTGAACTTATGTTACATGTAGCAGCTGTCTTTACACAAGAGATACAGCCATACAGTAGTAGCAAAAATATATCCTGTCTCAGGAGACAATGCATTGTTATTTATGAAAAACTGAATCATTGGATAATGCAATTCTAGAGCTTTGATTGGCTTAGCCATCATGGTATATGAGCTATGCTCTCCAAATATGGTAACTGTATGCATCTGTTCAAAATTAAAAACAAGCTGAAAATCAGTTGTTTTTACAAATATAGTCGGAAAGAATTCTCGATATTTTGTGGGTGTTTTTAATAAAACAATAATTCCACTCACGCTTGTTGGATATGAGATGATTATAGCAAACAAGGCGTGTAACGCAGAGTTGGCTATCTACCATCTCATTTCCAACGTGCATTCTTGGAGTAATTGTGAAATATCCATTAAGTAATGGACACCTCATTACACCAGGCGTGAGGACCATTTCGGTTGAAAATGCGCTGAATGTAACCCCTACTTTACATAATAACCTTGCCACGATGATAAAAATATGATAGCATATGAACACCAGAAATAGAAATGCTATGGTAAAAGGTAATACAGTATGGTTCAAATGAAGGTTACCACACTCTTCCAAGAGAAGCATCTCATCTGATGAGACAACAGTTTCTTCTTGAGAGACATGTCTTGTCTCAAGAGACAAGGTTCTTGTCTTGGGAAATGGTTAAAAATCTTCAAGTATAAATATTGTCACCTTTCCAGCATTATAGTAGCCTGTGGATACAACCATCTCTCCTTGCTGCTAAGGGTGTTCGCAGGAGAGACATCTAAGCCTTAACAACAGAAATTTTATATCAATAATGTAAAATCTGTCCTGAATCTGGCTGGAGCTCTGATTAGTCAATGCATTAATTTTATTCTTTTAGTTCACAAAGTTCAAATGTAAAATTAATGTGATGATTCTAGCGAAAAACAGTCATTATTTTCTTCTTTCGAAGAAGAATTTGATTTTTGCTGTAGCTCATTTGCAAAGAACTTAAAACTTTACCATAATAGAACATGAGAAACATAAACTTGAAATTTACGTTAATTTGGAACCCCATGACTACAAGAGTAATTATGAAAACATTGATTGACATCATTAGTATGGCATTTCTGTGGTTGAGGCACAGATTTCTCTCCGGCAAAATGTCCCTAGTTGCAGGGAGCAAGGAGAGATGACTGTATTTGAAGGCTTAAGTTATAGTGATGGTAGCACAAACACAAAGGTTGGAAATTTTTTATATTTTATCAGTGGATCGTACTATGCCCCTAACTCTCACAATTCCCGATCCAGTGGCCATTGATTTTGTAGAGGGTAATTTATGGAAGAGTGTTCTTGATCTTTGTGGTGCAGTGAAAGGTGAAAAGCTATTAAATGGTCTTTTTTTAGCTTTCAACTTTGATGAGGAAGTGCCCGAATATGACATGGACTCTGAGGATGAGGAGTGGCTGAGGAATTTCAACAAAAAGAAGGTGAGATTTCTCCCTTAACACAAAGTTGTCTCAGTATTGGTCATAAATAACAATCACTCACTTCTGTGTAACTTGTTGAAAGATTGACTTTTCTCATACTGACAAAAGTTTTTCAATTTCATTAGGAACTATTGACACCCCTTAGATTTGAACAGTTACTTGACCAGCTGGAAAGAAATTCGGGAAACCAGGTAACATTATAATACTCATTTTTTTGGTACAGGACTCTCGGTAATCTTTGAAGAAGGTAGCTTGGAGTTTTTGCCTGTGGGAGAGATTGCAAAATTGAACCTCAATTAAATGGTTTTGCAATTTTGCTCCAGCAAATGTTGGGAGATAATCAGACCATGCTGGGCTAAACATTCCCCCAACAAAACAATGTAAACAGATAATTATGTCTATCACCAGAAGAGAAAAACTATACAGTGTAGATACACTGCACTTGCGTGTTGAAAGAAGTTGAGGGAGAAGACCGAACAGCTTCAACATTTTGAGACATGTAACTATGAAAGACAATGTGTAAATAAGTTTGCGAGCTTTTTCAACCTGTCACAACATCTCAGATCAATGCTCTGAGGGGAAGTTGAACAGTCTCAACTGTGTCTCTCAACAAACTAATGTTAAGACAATGTTGTGACATTGTTGTGGCCATTTGTTTGGGGTTTTAATGGACTAAATAAAAATGTCCTTCTTTTCCAGCCTGTGTCAGCGAATGAAGCCAAGTCGTTATTGAAGGATTTGAGTCCTGAGATCCTGAAGCCTTTATATGATTATTGGTTAAACAAAAGAAAAAAGATGGTAAAGCACTTATAGTACTAGTAGCATAATGACACAATCCATGGGAAATTATTACTAAAATATATGTAATTTATACTTAAATAATGAAATTGAATACATGCAGTAAACAAACTTTTTGTTGCTCTGCCACTTCCTCCTTCAATGTTAGGGGGGATTTTAAGTTGTTTTTTGTAGTTGAAAACATGTAGCTAGATGTTTGATTACCCAGGATGTTGTGTTACTTTGACAAGAAAATGTGCTTGAAAGTCCACCATCTACACTGTACCTGTTGTTCCTTTGAAATCATTTCACAACCCTTGGGATTTTATTTTCTGAAAGTTATCTCAAAATTTTGTCCTTTGTAAGTGTGTAAATTTGAACTTTGTCATTTGGCATCAAGAGCAAGAGCCATCACAGTACTTTACTGGTGAACAAGGTTTTGGGCAGGGTTTTCTCTTTTTTTCGTGCCTGAACTTGAAAGGTTGTAATTTGGCATCCGAATCAAACAGCTGAACTAGCTTCATTTACATTCTTGAGCAGAATCACCAGGGAGATTGGGTTAGTCTATGGGCTGAAATTATGCTTCATTAAGAGTTAATGTACTGTGATTAACTGACATCTTGTTGTTTTCTTGTAGAAGGATCTGGTGATTTCACTGATCCCTCAGCTTAAAGGCGAAAAGAGGGATGGTACATCAGCTAGTGATCCATATGTGGCATTTAGAAGGAGAACAGAAAAGATGCAGACGAGAAAAGTAAATAATGTTTTCTTATATAAACACCAATGAAATACCAAGTGAGCTTTTGTGTAAAAACTTTATATCTTCACATGTTAAAATATCACCATTGCTATGGCTACATAATAAATCGTACCTTTCACACCAAAAAACTATCTAAGTAAAATGGTTTGGTATTTCATTGGTGTTTATATAATAAAAAGAACATTACATGGTCGCTTGGAGATATGAAATTTCTCTTGTTGTGTTGGAAAAAATATCCATATTATTTCAACACTCGAAGAGAAATTTCGTATCTCCGCGCGGCCATGTAATATCCTCTATATTATGCATTTCTAGAAAATATCTCTGAAAATAGCTTGATGTGCTAGATTGTATAGATGTAAAACAGAATTGCCAGTTGGTTATCGTTATTTCAGAATTTAGGATTTAGAATAAGGTTCCTTTTGTCAGCTGATCCTTAAATCTTAAACTTCTCCATCTTAAGGCCTGAAGTTTATAACTTATGAACATGGTATTAGTTACTGTACTTTAACAGTTTGCATTACCAGGGCTTTTTGTCCGATAGTGCAGTACAAGTTACTTGCCCAGCGGTTAAGGGTCCAGGCAAGTCATCCTCTAACTAAAATAATCATCAAACTTAGATGAGCAAGAAGTGGTCCCAGGCAAGCAAAAATTAATGTGAGAGCTGCTTGCCAAAAGGACAAGCAGTAATTCAAGTTTTCCTTCATTACTCCCCAATCATAAAACGTTTATAGCACAATACACTAGTTGTTTCCATTTCTTATCTTTCAAAGTGTTCTGAAGTGCTTTCGAAAGCTGAGTGTTGTGGTAAATGTCTCACCGGACTATTTTCTTTTCAGAATCGTAAGAATGACGAGGCTTCCTACGAGAAAATGCTGAAACTCCGTAGAGACTTGAATAGAGCTTGTACAATTTTGGACATGGTTAAGCGAAGGGAAAGCTCAAAGAAGGAGCTTCTAAAGCTTACTGTTGATGTGTTTGAGAAAAGGTAATGTCAGTTAAGAAAGTTATGAAAAAAATAAAAATATCAATATCATGATCCACTTAAATTTATTAAGAGTTTAAACAATTTGTCTCACAGTAATTCTGTAATTTAATGAATTTCCCCCCAAAATTTCACTTGCCCATCAGGTAAGATAAGGAAAGAATTGTTTAGCAAAACGTGGCTGGCTGTGGATTCAAAGTAAGTTTTACTAAACAAATCTTTGTGGATTTTGTAGATATGCCGCTGGAGATTACGCTGGTCAAATCCTTCAACAGTGTATGGATATGATCAGATATCAGCCCCCTGCTACTAACCTTACAGTGCCGACATCAGCTGGTTATGGCGAAAATGTCACACCAGGTGCGATGACAGCTGGAGAGAGGGAGCAGGAATTGTGGAGACGAGGCTTACATGTGAGTTTTAACACAATGGTGTATCATAAAGGTCATTCAAAAAGCAAATTATTTATTTTATTCATTCCCTGCTCCATCATCATGTGTAAGCACTGTATCAACATTCTGGTCCTAGCAGTATGTGGGATGTTTGTCACATGAACCTAGTTTAGTGACCTTAGCTTCCACGAGTATCCTGTAGCTCAGTGGTAGAGCCTCTGGGCTGGTACCCAGAGGGTCGTACATGTAGGTTCGACTCCTATTGGGAGTACTTTGAATTTTTCTTCCGAGCTGCCTGTCTCACTGACTGAAAAGTCATCTTTCGCATGTATTCACCAGGGCCAGGTTGTTTGAAGCTGGGTTAAGGTAACCCAGGGTTAGTGCGAAATTTGAACTCAGATATGAGAGCCTAAAAAGCAAACTCAGTTAAATTCTCTTTGCCTACAATTTGATGATTGGATACTCTAAAAAGAATGGAGAAAATTACCTGAGGGAGTGCTTTTGATAAAAAGAAAATGAACGGTGGGTTAAAATTTAACCCTGGGTTAGCGCTAACCGGCATTCAAACAACTGGGCCGGGATATCACATCTCTATCAGGGTTTGACTTTATTTGCATCATAATAAACCTAGTGAATAAGTGATGGTGGATGACATTCAATGGATATAAAATTAGTTTTGATCCTGTCTTACTTTTGTAACTACCAAACTACATACTTATCTTTCAACTGTTCTTCCAGGAAAGACAACGGGTAGGGAAGAATGATGTAATCAATGAATTAGGGTAAGCGATATAACTTGAAATTAGTTTTAATAGCGAAGCCTTGATACACAGTGGACTCCATTATACACCTATCTAGTTATTACAGCCACACAAACCAAATGTGCTTTGAAACAAACAGACAAGTGATAAGCAAAAATACATCTCGAAACACAAAAACGATAAACGATACTCCTTTTTAACTGAAAGTGTCTAATATCATATTATTCACTTTTAATATAGCTATTCCTTTACAAATTCAGCAGTGTAAAAGCACCCATGAAATATGACCCCACCCCTCAAATACGGCGCCTCTGCTGATACTGTCAAATTGTTATGGTCCGTTGGCAGCGGCATTACTCTAATAGACACAAGAGTAGAATTCACTTGAATAACTCTAGAAGAAGAGTTGAGTGCAGCTGGGTTTACTTCTTCTTGATTTGTTTTAAAAGCGTATCACCAGATTAAGCAGTAGCTTTTAAGACAGAACAGTGAAGTTCGAGTTCTGCAGTGTAACTTTTTTTGTTGAAGAAATACAAGATTAATACTGCTGACCTTCCCCCCTCAGAATCAAGAGACCCAAACTTCATCAACATGCCAAGGTTTCTCAACCAGGAGATCAGTTGGTGTTTAGTGATGAAGAAGAGCTCATTCGTGTTTCGCCTCCTCCGGTATGCTATCCTAATCTTGATTTATTATCATGATTTTCAAATTGAATTTCTTCCATGCCCTTTTTCTGCAGGTTCCTTGCTTAGTTCTCCATTCACTTTAAAACCATTTGTTAAGAGGCAAACTGATGTTGAATTGTCTTGTTGTGCAGGTTGATATTCCTTCAGAACCTGAAGATGACGAGGATGATCCGGATGGTAGATTTGCATTTAAAAGAAAGCGTGGCGTCAAATACATGGCGGTGAGTTGGACAAGTGTTTTATTTCCAGAGATAATTTGCAGTGGGGGATTCATCAACGAGTGGGGGACTCGCTCACCCCCAGACCCTGAGATAAGTGGGGGGGGGAGGGGGAGGGGGGGAGGGGTGGTTGCCGGCTTCCCCCAAAACGACGATGGCGACGGCAACGAGAACGGCAAAAGCAATAGGTTAAGATTAGCATCGATTAGCAAAGCCTTACACGTGCATCACGCTTTTTGTATATTTCTTTGCCGTCGTTGGACGACTACAACGTGAAACTTAAAGTGAAGTTTAAAACAGCACGAGAATTTTTAAGTGACGTTTTCGCAGCCCTCGCTGTCGTGGTCGTTTAAGCTCCCTTTTTCTCGGCCCGGCGGGCTTTTGTTGGCCTTAAAATAAGGTGCCAGGGCCCCGACCCCCTCGGGCCCCTTCTCTAGATCCGCTAGTGATTTTTGTACATATGAAGCCGTGTTTTCTTTGTGGATTCAATAAAGTTGGAATTTATTTCGAATGTTCTCTTTCAGCCTCGATTCGATTGCCCTCAGCCTCTCCCATGGATCGATCCAGCGGAAGGAGGTCTGGGTGACAAGAGATTTCGCTTCACTTGTACATCAATATCGTCTCCACAGCGAGTTATTGGTTTCGCGCGGAGAAGAATAGGACGAGGTGGCAGGTAAAGCTGAAGAGCCCTCACGTTAGAGTGGCTGCAATGTGTACAGTATGTACTCGATTAAGCGCCGCGGTCCTGATACAATTAAAATCAAAATAATTCTTTAGTAATACCATTCTTTGTCGCGTCCAACTTTCAAATAAACGCCGCCCTCGAATAAGCGCCGTACTTGAGGAGTAAACTACTTAATTAAGTGCTGCGGTGCTTATTCCAGTAAATACGGTAGTCAAGTATTTAAAGTAACAGTTGTCACATCGTTATCCCCAAATCAATAAAATGAGGCATTTCCATCAATTAGAAAAACGAGGGCGAAACCACTGTTCAGAAAGCACTGCAAGTCTGTGCTGTTTGCAATTCCCGTTACAATGCCAGTGTTGTTATATTTTCAGTCAGCAGTGATTTGCAGCGATTTTCAGTGATTACTACTTAACGCCATATCGTGTACAAAACTGATATACGTTTTGATGAATTCATTGCCTTTCTGTATAGGATATACATGGACCGAGGCTACAGTCCTTTATCTGAAGACTTAGATGAGCTGGATTCGCGTCTCAACTCCTCGACGTCTTCATTTTCGTTACCAAATGGTTTGTTTCCGTACGATCACCTCACCGGCTGGAAGAAACCTTTATTGTAAGTAACAGCTTCTCAGCAAATCGAATCAGATTGTACTCTAAGACCATAAACGCCTCACTAAGATACATTTCTCTTTGTTTTTAGGCCGCATTTCAGACCGAAATCTCCACCCAGTCAAGTCACGCTTTCTTCCCATTCGTCATCTTCTGTATCGTCAACTGATTCACCTTCTGCCAGTAAACAGACCGGGGAGCCAAGACCGCGCCTTCATAGAAGCTTTTCCACGCAACCAAGATCGAAATTCTCACTTAATCCCACCCCTACAAATGGTGTGGTGGGGCTGAACTTTACGCATCCCAACTTGGGCCGTAACGCTCTAACGAACGGACCATTATCGAATCAAGGCGGTTACACTACGGGAGCGCTTACTAGTAAAAACACTGCCTACTCTACGGCACCTATGAATTCAGTGTCCGCTTTGAATTTTCCTGTGAACTCTGGACACACAATATCGAACAGTTTAGTGCGCGGCAGTGCGCCGTTTTCTCCTTCGGCTCTTAGTTCATCATCATCGGCGACTTCAACGTTGAGGGCGGGCAGCGTTGAAAATTCTGGCGCGGAACAAATGTAAGTGGGGATATTGTCTGCTACAATGTAGTTAGTGGCACCATCGTGCTCTTCTTGAACCTCCTGTTTTCACTGTTCTTGACTTACGCCTCCCCGACCTTTTTTCGGTTCAGACATCCGCTCCCCTCCCCCCTTTTGCTCCTCTTCCTCTTCCGGTTTTCCCACCTTCAGATTTCCGCTCCCTCAAGCCGATAGCTGATTAATATAGGTGCGCTATGCGTAAGATAAATCCCACGAAATGAGTCTCTGCCCTTCTGTGGTCACGTACTGCATGAGGTGTCTCTGGGGCCTGGGAAGGGCCGGGGAATCTTGATCCCGCATTCCCGCTCGTTTCACGAGAGTCAGGCCGCATCCCGAACTTGCCCGCCATCGCTATCCCGAATATCGTTGTCTTTCCCAATCCCGCATCCGTGCTCAAATTTTGGCGAATAGCCCTTCCTGGGCGGGTAGCAATCAAATCTCGTATCCCGCTAACGTTTCCCGAATCCCGCACTGTATTTTGGTCAAACCCCGCGCTCGGGAATACCCTTCCAGACCCTGTTTGTCGTGTGACTTAAGAACCTGTTAAAACACGATGACATATGATTGAATACGCAGATGTAAGCGGAAACTGCCTGCTAGGGGCGACGCTTTTAGTCAGCACCTTCGTGTTTTCCTGACCTGGCGGAAAACACAGGTTTTTGTTATGATTTAATTTCCCATCTAAGGCTCCGTTTCATGAACCGCTGAAATAACCCTTTGTGGTTTGTTGATGTTTTTTTTCTCCAGGGAATTAGATGTGGTAAATAGAACAGATGGCATTCTTAGCACAATGGATGGGTTAGGATCTTCACTTAGCAGTGTACCAAGTACGTCGTGATGGCTACTAGCCAACCTAATCAACATAATCAAGAATGCGATTGTCCTCCATCCAGAAAGCTGGTCTTCTCTCTGTTTTAGATGGTTGCAAGTCATCGGGGTGAAAGTTGCCGAAAGAAAGAGGAAGGAATAAGAATTGGAGGGCCGTTACTTGCGCAGAAACATTAACCGCCCTGTATAATTTGTTATTATTCCGAAGGGATGGAATGATTCCCCCTCGGATGGCGGGTTGCACGAGAGATATAGACATAGTCTTCAATTTGCTCGGGAATTCTCTCATATTATGCACAGATAGTTTAGGGAGGTGAAACAACGCGACATGGAACTAGAAATACGTATTAAAGCGCTTCACTGGATTTGCTTGATGGTGCCCATGATATTAACGTAGAATCCACAACTCTCATTTCATCAACACAGACGTTTCGTTGGAAATATTTTATTCGCGAAAATCTGACTGATTATTAGCTCAAACTAATTTCACGTTCTTTGTAACTTCAGCTTATAGGTACCTTTTTGTATTTGTCAGCGCATGCTCTGTGAAGGGAAGTTTTTTTTGTTGTACTTCGATTATAACGTGCATATCGAGTTCTTTTTTTCTGAACGCCTTTTGTATTATCGACTCAGCATTTATGTTCAGTTTTGACAGACTGCATTTTGTTTCACAAAAGGCTGTAGTTGAAGAGAGCGACCAGTTTAATCGAAGATGGAAGAATATAACTTTAGAAAAAAAACGTCAGTACTCTGCCACTGGGGTAATAGTGGAAGAGCGGTGCAACTTTTGTGCTTTGCATCTTTTCCATGATCTTCAGAATAAAAATATCGACGGTGAAGCATTATAGTCATCAGAAACAAGCGTGATCAATTTGTGTTATAATCAACAGGACAGAACAGTGTAAAAAGTAAATAAACGGTCGACGTTCCCGTATTTTTTAAAACATTATTTATTGTTACAAATTATAGGAAGATTATTTGCGCATCGCGCCTCTATCGTGTTAACTGTGATGCGATAATTATGAGGGACAACATTGATTAGTATTCTCCTTAGCTGGGGTTGTGTTGGTCGGGTGGTCACGCAGTGCTTGCTATAATATAATTGCATGACAACTAGAGTAACGCAACCCCGGCAATAATAGCTGCCAAGTTTAAATCGAGGCAGTGTTCTTTGTCCAGTGTACTCGGTACAGCGACAAAGTTTTATTTGAATTGAGCTCCTTAGATAAAAATCCTATATTTTATAAAGCAATCAATGTGAAACCAATACACTCTTTGTACAAGTGACTCTTTCATATGTCCTTCTAACGTATTTGTGTACAATAAATCGCTGACAATAAACAATTCATCTGGAGTGAGTCTGTTTTACCATTGTTTTTACCCATTTTCAACGGCTTACAAGACAATTGTACCATTTTTAAAATATATAATTACTAACTTCATCTGGAGTGAGTCTGTTTTACCATTGTTTTTACCCCTTTTCAACGGCTTAAAGACAATTGTACCATTTTTTAAATATAATTACTAACTTTTTTTCAAATTCATCGTTTCTTTTTGCTTACGGTTGACAAGTGCGCCAGTCTTTTTCTTTTCCTTTGTCTGCTCTTGACACCGACCGTTTCCCGCGCTTTTCGCCGCCTGGTTGCGATTCATACTGTCGGTGATGACCTGGAACTAGCTTTAAGTCGAGGCTCAGGTATGAGAATGTTTTGTCGGACAAGGTGCGCGGAGCACTAAAAGTAAGAAAATTATTTTGGTGTCTGTCCAGGTTTGATGACTTGCCTTTCTTGTGTACTTGCGTTCGAAGGAGGAGAATGCCTACCGGACTAGCTCAAACGGGTGGAAATCGGTGTTCCAAAATAACACCAACTCTAAAACCTTTATTTTCATTGGTCCCTATTTCCTGAAACTCCTACTTTTTAGAGTAATTGATGCATTGTTTGGGTCCTTTTTATGTTTGATCACACCAATAACAGGCCTTCTCGCAAATGGCGTGTCATCACGTGACCGTAATTCCGCACCGCAGGGCAACCAACATGGTTGTCATTAGTGTCAATCCAGTTAACTGCCGAGAATACGAATGAGGTTGAGTGCCCTGCTGCTTCAATGATAGTGTCCAGGTCAACACTTACAGATATTTTATTTTGTCAGAATTAACTTCCTGTACGATAACCATGTTCAGTATCACCCAACAGGATTCATTTGCGAAAAACATGACAATCAAAGAACTTCTTTATCATGATCATCGCGACCAAGAACATCTGTCAAGTCACCTGGTGACTTGAAATAGACTGGACGAATTGCTAAACTCTTTCACTTCAGGATTATTACAGACGTGCCTCTGAGGTTGCCACGCGTTGGGACCGCCGTCTCTTCACCTGGCTGTGTGCTGTGCAAATCTGGCAAAACGGGCCCTATAGAATCAAACAAAAATATTACAAAATGGAATGCAGGGCTGGCACTACGGCAAAGGGCTGATTTATTATAAGCCAATATTTCGGCTAACAAAATTAGCCCTCCTCAGGGCCAGAGCTATACCGAGAGAAAATATCTTTTAACGGCTCCTAAAATTTGAATTTAAAATTCACATAAGTGGTTAATAATTAACTACAATTCTAAATACTGGATAGAATAATATACAGGTAAATGATTACACAATAAAAATAGAAATAGAAACAGTTCAATGTTGTCTCCTTCGGTTCAGACCGTCTGGTGACAGGGTTTTGCCTCTGTCTATGAGGTACGCTACTCTTGCTTTACGGCGTGACATGCTGAGGGTGGGTTGTAATTCCAGCGGAATAAGTTCCATGTCTGCGATCGAGTGGCCAGGTTGATTACAGTGGGAAGGGACTGCTGCTGTGGCGTTTGCGTGGGGTGGATTGTTTGTTACCCGTCTATGTTCTTTAAAGCGTTCACGAAGTGTGCGTTTAGTTTCAGCCAAATGTTGTTTTTTACATCTTTTACATTGGATCATATATGTTAGGTTTGTTGAGTCACAAGTAATGCGATATTTTATTTGTCTTGTTTCTCCCGTGTTGGTGAAAGTGTATGATATTTTCCCATGGTTAATGTATGGGCGGGTGAGGAAGCCATGTCTGGAGTTGCAAAGGAATGTGCCCGCAGGGGGCTTGGGTGTGTTGTCGTTGTTTGCGAGTTTCGCACGAACGAGTAGGTCACGAAGGTTTGGTGAACGGCGGAAAGCGACGACAGGTACTTCTTTAAAGATGTCAGTTCGTAAGCGTTCGGTGGATTGCAGAAAGGTTGTTTCTTGAGGAGTATTTCATGGATGTTAGGTAGAGCTGGATTATAGGTAACTGTAAAAGGGATGCGGTCACTTATATCTCTGGTGGCTGGTTTATTCTCTTATAAGGCTTCTTTTCGAGGTACCTGTTTTGCCGAAGATCTAGGCTGTAGGGAATAAACTTTTTAGTGTGATATGGGTTGCTTGAAGAGTGCAGTAAGTGTTGGTGTTTATCTGTAGGTTTGCAGTAAAGATCAGTTTTTATTTTACCGTCGTGGAGTTGAATGTTTACATCTAAGAAAGGGATAGACGTTGCTGAGCGTTCACTAGTGAACTTAATAAAAGGGTGTATGTTGTTGAGTTACGTTATAAACTCGTCCAGTTTTTCTTCACCCACACAATCGAACCTCCAACGCCTCAGTCCCTCTTTCCGCTATTAAAAAGGTGGAACACAAGAGAAGAAAAACCTACGAACAAGTTGAGGCTGACCCAGGTTTAATTATAAAGCCTGCATAGCATTCTTTTCCATTTCCTTTTAGCCGAGCGGGAGATGAGCAGGAGAGGCGCGAGAGGGAAGTGAAAAAATCGCTATAAATAACCACTGCGGCCAGCCACCCCTCTGGGTAAAATAACGCCCCCTCCCCTCTGCTGGCAAAGTCCCGCATCCACTATTTGATTAAGTGGATGAAGAAACAGCCGGGGAGGGGGGAGGCTAAGGTAGTGTGGGAAACGCTTAAAACACTGCAAACAAAACTGCAAGAAGACTGAAAGAGTATAGATCATGAAGTCAGGCCCACACAAGTCGCTCCAAGCAGCAACGTGTTTCAAAGGAGCCTGCATACCTTAAAGATCAAAATTATACGCCTGTTTAAGACCGGTTAGAATCAAGTTAGTAAATAATGGGTTTTATTTACTACACGGAATGTCACCATAATTACGGTTGCTGGCGAAGAATGAGAGTCGTGAAATATACAGCTTGAAGCAAAGAACTCATTAATTACCACATCGCGCGCGGGCAGGCAGTCTTCGTGATACACATGTTTACAAAAGAATACAACGACGTGTGAGGCTCTTCTTGAGTCTGAAAAAGATAAGTTTTTAAAAACTTAAAAACTTAAAAAAAAACCTGTGTAAAGCACAAACGGCAATAGAAGAAGGATATTCAGAAAAGGTTAAGACGAACGGCTATCAACTGGAATGAGTAACTAAGGCCCCGTTTTATGGAGAAAAGTTGTCCTTGGAAAGAGGGTCACCCTCCCTGCCCAATCAATTTTAGCGAACGTTTATGTGAGACAGAAGTTGACCCAGAGCTGACGACGGTGTTTGCGCATGCTATGATTGTCTCACCTTGACCGAGTTGACCCGACTGAACGAGCCAAAGTGTCTGTGTGTAGAAAAGTTGGTCTGGCTAGGAGGGTGACTTTACCATTTAAAAAGGGTGACCCGCCTAGGTTGCTCACCTTTCTAGCCGAGCGAACTTTTTGTCTCTTATGAAAAAAGTTAGCTAAGTTTTGTAAGGAAAAGTAGGGAAAGCTGGTTCGCCTCAGGGTAACTCGAGTAGAATCGTGACGCTTCTACCCGGGACGAGGTTCTCCAGATAAATGGGTACTAATAAAATGATTGAGTTTTTATTGTTAGCCTACCTTCTGCGATGATGGCTCCCTGGCACACAGGACATTTTGTTTCATCTGCCAAAGAAAAGCAAATTTTATTTTTAGTAACACTGCTTAGATTGTACGATGAAGAAGCGCTTTGTCGCCGCAATACGAACACCGATTAGTATCGTACGCCGTAATAACGCCAAAGGCAAAAAGAGAACGCTACTTCGCGTTTCAGATGCAGAGAATGCTTGTAGTGCCAAAACTTAGAGTCTTTATAATGAAGTTTATTTCCGTAATAAATTAATGAACGTGCACGAATTACAGGTTTGACGCCTGAAGACCCAGACTAACCTTAGTTGACATTTATATGATATGCACGCAGAGGTAGCGAGTTGTGGGGGACTTGCAAGCCAACGCCACACGAAGCCGATATGGATGACGGGAAGGACGAAGTCTGTGTTTTCTGCTGCTTCTTAGCAGCCCCTCGCCTGCCCGCCCGGATTAGTGGTCTTTTCGCCCCAACCTCATCGCGGCTTCACCGCTCTCGCCCCACGCTCACTTAGCTTGAACAAAATCGCCATGCTCCGCAGGCTATGGCCCCAGTTCAATCAATGACTGGATACCTCTATCCACCAGTAAATCACTATCCAACGAATAAGTATCAAGAAAACTTATTGTGCCATACAGTGGATAACGGTGCATTGAGCAACTGGAGCCAGTACTTTTTCTTCCGAGCAACAGGACCACAGTTTCATTTCAGAAAACTTACCATCTACAGAAACACCCTTCTGCTGTACTTTGCTCAAACGCTGCAGTAAGGAGACACTGCAAAAACCACAGAAATGAATTTAAGAATGAAGACGACGCAATCGACACGGTAATAGCTTTTAAATTCTTGACCCAGGGCGAAAACAATCTTCAAAAGCTTTTACTTCAATGGTCACACCAAAATACGTAAAGGGTCAGAAGCTAGAAACACTTTGTACAGTATAGTCAACTGCGCCAAAGGAAACGATAACTCAACGATCCCAGTTAAAATGCCAATTTTTAAAGGACTTTTCTACAGATTCAAATGTTATCAGGACTACCCGCATGCAAGGCTTTGTTCACACACTTTACCGCAAAGCTGTTCGTGCCGACACGAAAAGTTACCCGGTATAGTAATATACCGTAAAATTCCGAAAATAAGCCCCTCCAAATATAAGTCCCCTAAACCGGTAACGCAAAAAACCCTCCGTTAAATCGCCCCTTTAAATATAATCCCCCGGGGGCTTGTACTTGGAAAATTGTAAAACAAAGCAAAAACGGTAAATTTACTTCCGACTATAAGGCTAGCGCAATCGATTTTGAAACGCAAATTTCCCTCCGCAGATAAGCCCCTCCTAATATAAGCCCCTCCCCAAAAATAAGCCCCTAAAAAAGGGCCT